CACTGAAGGACATGTACTCCACCTGCATCTTGACCTCCAGCTGCAGATTCACAGTGCACACAGGCCCTTACCACAAGCAAAGGCTCAGAGGGCTCCCAAGCGAGCCAAGGTGGGGTCCGTGGAGCTATCAGGAAGTGGGGACTCACCACCTGCCGCCCCTCCATCTCCAGCTTGCGCTGCCCACTGAGGATCTTATGGCCCACGGTTCCCTGCACGCAGTAGCCAGGCATGATGACCTGTGGGGCAGTGAGGCGTGGAGCCGGCGGCCACCCTGCAGATGACACCACCCACCCCCCCATTCCTGCCTCGGGCTTCCTCTCTGTCTCTCCACCCCACCCCTGCTGCCTGTCTAAACCTGAACCTTTGATGGCCCCTTCCCCTTGCCAGCAGTTCCCCATCCCAGGCCTGAGTAGCACGTCAGCTACGGAAGCCAGAAGGCTTTACTGCCCGATGCAGAGAGGACGACACACAGCAAGGGTGGGAGCTGCCTGGGTCAGACACAGGGCCCTGGGATACTGAGCCCCGTCCTGACAACAGCAGTGCCCCCAAGCCGGGTGGAGCCCCTGCTCCCCCACCTCTGCCCAACCTCATAGGCCCTCCTGGGAGCTACACCTGGAGCCCAGATCCCTCACCATGTTCTTCTCATTCCCTGCCCACTTCCGGAAGATCTGCAGGGACTGGCCAGCATGCAGCATGCCTGGTGTGGCAAAAACAACCTGCAGGGCAGGCAGGGGACAGTCAGGGCACAGTCAGGGCAGTGGACACCCACCTGCCAAAGAACCAGCACTGGACACGAGTCCAGCCCCTCCTCTGCCCTCAGAGTCTTTTGACCCTGCACCCACCACCGGCCCCATCTTCTGACCACCCCCCCATCTTTCCCTCAGCACAGTGCACCCCACTCCCTGAGGGAGACCTGCAGGCAGGGACCACTCACACGTCCCAGACACGGAGAAGGTGCACACATGTAGACAGCCAACGCTGGCTGCCTCAGCCCAACTTGGCTACCATGGGCACAGGACAGCCATCCCCACCCCCTCCTGGCCAGGGCCTCACCATCGGACCCGGGTTGTCAGCAAATGCTCGGTCGAAAGCCTTGATGTGCTTAAACTCAAACATGTTCCTCTGGACAAAGGTCTTCCGGATCTTCTGGTTGGTCCAGGTTATGAAGAGCTTGTAGTAGTGGTTGGCCTTCTCCGTGAGGCCCGTGGAAAAGTAGATGGGGGCCTTCAGGTTCATGCGCTCCCTGCGGACCGCGCCAGGGCCACGGTGGAGGAGCTGCCGGGGCAGGGCTAGCCTGCGTCCCCCTCACACCCCAGCCCAGGCTGCATCCGTGAAGGAATCACCCCCTGCCCGCTCCCTCCTATACATCCAGGTCCCACAGAGGGGACGTAGGCACGTGACTGGGGGGCCCGGTACAAGCAGGCGCCCCAACAGACGTCAGGTACCCTGACTATACTCTGCCTAGAGCTGGACACGGACATGCCGCTGGCACCCACGCAAGCCAGGGCTCCCAGAAACCGACTGGCTACCACCTACCAGAAGGTCTCCAGCAGGATGCAGAGCTCCTGAGCGCGGCCCAGCGCAAACACAGGGATTAGCACCTGCAGGGGAAGGGCAAGGCTGGCTCAGGCAGGAACCCCTGGCCATGCTGCCCACCCAAGTTAAAGCCACCTCTGATCACAGTGGGCAGGCGGTGGTTCCCTGTGGCTGCCTTCTCAGGAACCGGCTACTATAAACACTGGCCCTGCTGGCAGCTCTGATGGCCAGGGCCTGCGTCCACTGAGAGGGCATGGCCAGGTATCCCCGAGAGTCAGAGGCCCTTTGCAGGCCACAGGTAAGGCCCCCACGCTCTGCCCTCAAGTCCTGCTCCCAGCCACAATACATCCCAAACTGACTGCATGGATGCTCTGGCCAGCCCTGGGCTGGGATCTGAGATAAGGGATGAATAAGAACCCCCGTGGTCTTCAGGGAAGTTTTTCTTCCTAATGCTGAGAACACATTCCTCCCCGCATGCCCAGAACACATGGCACCCGTCCCCTGACATGCCGGAGGTGGCGAAGGACCGTGTAGCACGGTCGGGGTGGGCACAAGGCCCAGAGCCCCGCCTGCACCAGCTACCTTCCCGCCACGCTCCACAGCCTCGTGGACCTTCTTCAGGAAGTCTCGCTCCCGGCAGCGCTTGGAGTCCCGGATGGTCGTGGCATATGTAGACTCTGTGATGAGCAGGTTGGGGCGGCATTTGTCAATCCAGGCAGCTCTATGACAGAGGTGGGCGTGGGCCAAGGTAGACAATCCACATGGCTGCAAGGCTAGGCTTCAAGGCTTAGGAGCAAAAAAACGGACCCCAGCCATAGCCTCCCTTGACCCTCTGACAAGCAGGAGGAAGAGACTCTGCCACGCACAAAGGACACGTGGTGGACGCTGAAGGCACCCAGCACACCCCTGTACATCACTGCACTCCTAGGGGGTCCACACAGGAAGAAACAAACACATAGCCTACTCACCCCAAATGCCGGTCCGGGGTCATATTATAATCACCCTGGCAAAGAATGTGGCAATAAGGCAGGTGCCTCCTCTCCCCGGCCAGGCAGTCCCTCCTGTGCCCCAGGTGCTTCCACTGACCGTGTAGACCACAGACTCTGAGCCCACTTTAATCTGGAACATGGCTGCCCCCAGCACGTGGCCTGCATAGTAGGCCTTGATTTCGAGCTCATCATCCACCTACAGAGAAGAGGCCTCAACTCAGGTCTGCAGGCTATGCTGGGTTGAAGACGATGGCAAAGGGGCCAGGGAGGTGGACACTGGGGAGGCAGAGGGCAGAAGGGAACATGGTTCTCATCACGTTTCATCATGTTTCATCATTTCCTGTTTCTCACACACAACGTCCAGTTCTCAACCAAGAGCAACCAGACATAAGAGACGAGACACCACCACAGAAAGCAAAACAACAGTCTAGAGAAGCAGACTCAGAGCTCCTAGAGTTTTCAGACATGGACTTTAAGAGGGCTGTGACTAACACATTCAGAGACATAAAAAGGACCCAGGATGTTGACCAAAAAACTAGAAACCTGTTTTTTTTTTAATGTTTATTTTTGAAGGGAGAACAAGCAGGGGAGGGGCAAAGAGAGAGGGGGACAGAGGATCTGAAGCAGGCTCCATGCTTCAGCAGAGAGCCCAACAAGGGGCTTGAACCCACAGACCATGAGATCATGACCTGAGCTGAAGTCAGATGCTCAAACAACTGAGCCACCCAGGCACCCCTAGAAATCATTTTAAAAAGTGGAAATCTAAACCAAAAATCATAATAACTCAAAGAATTCAATGTATGAATTTAACAGCACATTGCATATAACCAGAGTACCAATGCGCTAAAATATATAGAAAAGACTATCTAGCACGAAGCACAGAAAGACAAAAGCGTCAGGGAAGGTCTGAAGTGAGAGGCCTAACATTCTGCCATCTGGAGCCCTGGGCTGGAGGAGAGCAACAGGCAGGAGTAACACTGGAAGAACCTGATGAAAGACATCAGGTCACAGATCCAAGAGGCTTCACACCTGGGCAGATTCAATGAGAACAGAACAACATTCAGGCCCATCGTAGCATCCAAAAATCCACCCCCCAAAATCCAAAGAGAAGAACACAACCCTACAAGCAGTCTAAGATTAAAGATGCTCTTCCAAACAGTGAATAGAAAGACACATCCAAAGTACCAAGAAAAAAATGACAGCCAAACTAGAATTCCACACGTAATGAAAAAAGTCCTTCAGGAATGAGGGTGAAGCAGACCCATCTGCAAACAAATAAAAGAGATCGTGGGGGCGCCTGGGGCCTCAGTTAGTTGAGCATCCAACTCTTGATTTCGGCTCAGGTCATGATCCCAGGTCGTGGGACTGAGCCCCATGTTGGGCTCTGCACTGAGCATGAAGCCTGCTTAAGATTCTCTTTCTCTTTCTCTTTCTTTCTCTTTCTCTTTCTTTCTCTCTCTCCCCCACGACCTCTAAAATATTTTTTTAAATAAAAACAAAAATAAGAATAAATAGAATTCATTACCCACCAATCCACACTGGTGTTCTCTAGCAGGAAGACAAATTAGAAAGTGAACAACACAAGAAGCAGAGAGGGTAAACACAGAGAAGACTTTGTCGGAATTAGTCAAGAAGTCCTGCTGAGTTTCCTGTGTACCGAGCAAATCAAAGTCAAGGCGAACGACAGCCTAAGTCAGGGAAGGGACAAGCAGATTTACGGCATTCTAAGAGCTTTCCAATACACAGAGGCGAAAGCTCCAAGTACCTTAGAGCGTCGTCACAAATGCGTTTTGTAGCCTCTACCACTACGAGAATGAGAAGAGCATGAAGTTACTAACCAAATAAAAGAGAAGCAGAAATTTTAAAAAATTAATCCGAAAAAGGCAATAATGGAAAGAAGAAACATAGAACAGACAAGTCAAATAGGAAGCAAATGGTAAGAAGGTAGAGCTAAGCTCAAAGTTATTAAATGTGGAGTCCAAACGCTCCATCTGGACAGGTTATCAAGCTAGATTTTTTAAAAAGAAAAAAAAAAAAAGGAAGAAAGAAAGAAACCAACACCTCTTTTGCTCAGGCCCATGGTGCCGGCAGGACAGGCTAGTGTCAGTCCTCACACTGCCAGGATGCTCCCCAGCCACAGACAAGATTAGAAGCAGCAAAGCCAACAGGACAAGGAGGCCCATGGGGCCTGAAGGCCAACCCTTGTGGAGGCGCTTCCCATGCACAGGGAATGTGCCGGAAAAAGTAGGGGTTGAAACCAGACAGCCAAATTCTGCCATCAGGAAGTGTATCAGGGTCCAGCTGATCAAGAACGACAAAAGAAATCTCAGCCTTTGTACCCAATGACAGCTGTTTGAATTTTATTGAGGAAAATTCTGAAGTTCTGGTTGCTGGATTTGGTCACAAAGGTCATGCTGTCGGTGACACTCCTGGAGTTCGCTTGAAGGTTTTGTCAAAGTAGCCAATGTCTCTCCTTTGGCCTTACACAAAGGCAAAATGGAAAGACCAAGATCCTCAATTTGATGGTGAACACATGACAGTAGGAAATTTTCATACACAAACAAAAACAAAAACAAATTACATGCCACTTAAAAGAGCTACATTTAAAACATGATGCAGGGGCGCCTGCATGGCGCAGTCGGTTAAGTGTCTGACCCTTGATTTCGGCTCAGGTCACGATCTCACAGTTCATGACATTGCGCTCTATGCTGCCAGCACACAGCCTGCTTGGGATTCTCTCTCTCTCTCTGCCCCTCCCCACACACACATGCGCGCTCTCTGTCTCTTTCTCAAAATAAATAAACTTAAAAAATAAAAACAAATTAAAAAAACATCTGAAACGTGTTGTAGTAAAGTTGAAAATAAAGCAATGGAAAAAGCCATGCCATGCAAACAGTAACCAAAGGTGGGAAAGGCAGGGATGGGGTAATGTTACCAGAAACACAGACTTTAAGGTAAGAAGCGTTATTAAAGATAAATACACATATTTGTATTGACGAGAGGTTCAACCAGAAGGATAAAACAACCCAAAATATATAGGCACCTAATAACAAGCGAAACCCACTGACTCTAAGGAGAAACAGACAAATCTACAATCCTTGTGCTAAGTTTTACCCAATTTGATTGCATTTGCCTGCTTAAAACCTTAACCTTCCTCCGTGACCCACATATGACACTTACCGAGACAAAGCCCAAGCTCCACAGCTAGTACTGGGTGCCCTCCAGGGCTTGCCCATCTCACTGTCCGGTCTCCACCTTCTTACATGTGTTCAGACGCACGGCTGGGTGAGCAGCAGAAGCTCTGTGCACTTCATGGGCACTCTAGTGCCCCCCTCCCACCCTGAATCTGGGCTGGGTCCCTACATGCTTGCCCGCTGCTGCCTCCTAGTGGCCCCACAGTATCAGACAGAGAGTGGGATGGGGTCTGTTAGGACCCTGACCTGGACCGTCTGGTGGAGGTGGACAGCTACCACCTTTTTCATACAGTCTTTGATCATCTGGGAGGTAAAGAAGTTGGCCTCGCCCTTCTTGTCCACAGCAATCTTGCGGTAGTCCTCCAGCAGGATGGGGCAGATGGCCTGGGTGGGGTGGGTCATGTAGATGGGCCCGTCGTAGCCCACCATCTCGCTGAAGTAGGGGAGTGCCCCACAGTGGTCCAGGTGGAAGTGGCTGAGGGTGCAACATAGATCAGCCCAGGGCCACTGCTCCCCGAGCAAGCCCGCCCCCACAGCCCCTCCACACCAGGGCCCCACCGTGTGTCAGATGTCATCCTAAGTACTGCAGAGTAGGAGGCAGCAAAACAGATGAAAACTGCTACCTTCCTGGAACCTACAATCTAAGTGTCTGGTAAAGCAGTGAGCATTAAAGAAGTAATGCTTGCATCAGAGGTGTACGTTTTCTACGGTCAAATAGAAAGTAGCTGAGAAGGGGACAGGGCATCAGGAGAGCTGCCCTCTCCGGCAGATGGATGGAAAGACCCCATGGCATGTGAGCCAGGCCAGGAAGGCACTGGGGCAGAGGGAACAGAGTGCTGTGGGTCCACAAACAGAGCAAACCGCTACATCAAGCCCATGTCCAAGAAGGGACTGAGTCCACAGGAGCCTCACAGCAGCTGAGGATGAGGCCGCCTTGGGCCACCAGGTCCCTGGCTTGCAAGGTGCGGGGAGAAGACCAGCAGGAGGCTGCTCTGGTCATCTGGCCACATGGCAAAGTTGAAGGTCAGGAAAAGGGCTGGACCCACAAACTGTGGGCTGTCTGGGTGGAGTGTGAGGAAGAGGAGGAAAGCAGGAGCTCCATTCAGCCAGGCTGGGGAGCTCAACCATCACCAGAGAAGAGCTGGACCATGAGACTAGAGATCAGGGGCAGGGTGGATGAGGATGTATGGGAAGGTCTGAGGACTGAGGACGAGCAGGGAGGGTGTAGTCACCGCTGCCAAATGCTGTTGAGAGGCTGAGTGAGGAAGTCTGAGAAGCAGCCCAGGGGTTCAAGGTGAAATGTGCCATCTTTGCATTGGGGGCAGTGGCCTCCCTGCCACGGGCTATTGCCCTAACACCACCTCATCTTCTTGGGGCACCTGGGGCTCTCATCCATGACACTCAGGGGCAGAGCCAATAGGCACCCACAGCACAGAGCGCCCCTTGCCTCCACAGGGCTGATCAAAGCCTGTCAAGGGGCAACCGTGAACACCTATAAGCTCACGCAGACACAGCCTCCAGGACCACCGTTCAGAGGTGGAGAGGGCCAGCCCTGGGGGTGAGTCACATAAGCAACCTGGAACAGAACCTGGGCCCGCAACACCCCACAGCCTGCAGCCTCCACGGGCCCCGGGGGCTCTCCTGGGCCCACTAGGGCCCCCGAAGTGGGGTCAGATGTGAGCCGACATCACACTATGACCAGCAGCCAATGGGCACTCACCTGATGATCACACAGTCCAGGAAGTCGGTCAGCCGGCCATTGCGGGTGATGTAGGAGAAATCAGGGAAGCGCCTCTGAGAAGCCAAGAAAAAGGGTCAGAACGCAGCTGCCCTGGGTCTGCAGGTGATGGAAGTGGCGGGCAGCCAGCACTCCAGGGAGCGACTCCCAGGAGTGGGGAATAAAGGCACAGGCTGAGCCTGGGCACTAATACCCCCACCCTGGCAGGCCACACCAGGACCATCGACTGTTCACAGCCTCTGAAAACCCAGGGAGGGGTCAAACCGCCAGAACCAGTAACCAAGCCAGAAGCCCTGCCTGGGAAGCACTGAGCTGCCCCACATGACCCTGCAGGAGCCCGCGAGCCGCTGCTCTGGTACAGATCAACGCTTCCACGCAGGGTACCCCACCTGTCAAGTGGTGGGGTCCGGGGCTGCCAGGGAAGGCAGTGACCCCAGACCCACCTGCCTCCCACCACTGCCCACTTGCCCAAACTGTCCCTACTCTATGGGTCAGAGCCTGAGGCTCTAAAGCCTGGGATCCTACTGAGAACAGCAACAAGGAACAGGTAGTGTGAGGTCCCTCCAGGGACCTCCACCTTCCCTCAGGACTCACGTCGTCATTGAAGCCCATGTGCATTCCGCAGTCCAGCATGACATTCTTGCCCCCGATGGAGACCAGGATGCAGCTTCGGCCCACATCCTGGCCAGCTCCTGAACAGGAAGGCGGGATGAGGTGCTGCCACCCCCTTCCCACTTCCCCCATGTCCGTTTCCCTGCTGCTGCAAGTGATGGCCCCAGCCGCCTGCCTCAGGCCTCCAGTGGGTGCTCTGGGTCCCCGGCCCTGCAGAACCCTCAGTGGGTTGGGGAAACTAGATCCCCACGGCTGCTGTGTGGACAAAGGGTGAGGCAAGAAGCACTGTCACCTCCACACACAGGCCAGGGAGATGTGCAGGGAAGGGACAAAGGGCCAAGCGAGTTCCAGCCCATGTGCCCTCCCCTACTGCACCTCCGAGCCTCAGGCCCTGCCACTACCACCTAGGTCAGACAGAAAACGCCCCTCACCTCTCGAGGGAGCAGCCTACCTGCTGCCGCTGACCTCAACCGTCAAAGGCCAGGGGATGTGCAACAGGTGCTGGACCGTGGTCCTGGCACTTAATAGGGGCAAGCTGATGCTCCACGAGGCCTCGCCACCCCTCGTGAAACCTCAACTGGGGTGACATCCGAGCTGTGGGGACCCTCCCCCAGGGCCTACTCCCAGAAGGCATCAAGCGCCTCCAGGTGGTGCCACTGCAGAGGGACACTGTGCAGTAGCTTTAGCCCAGCCATGGGGAGACAGGGCCCCAGCTGTCCAGCAATGACCAGCTACAGTGGCCTCAGTGCAGATGCCCCATCACTGCACCCCCTCAAGACATTCCCAGTCCAGACTTAACCTGAGTCCTATCCATGTTCTTGACTTCGAGTCCTACCAGCTGCTCCAGCCCCAGCAGGACACATCCCAGCAATCTCTTCTGGCCATGTGTCATCTCCTCTGGGGTCTGGAGGCCCAGGAAGAAAGGGACATACCCTTGCATGATGTCACCAAATGACCTGCTTTCTATCCTGATCCTACAAGCCTCCCTCTACCAGCCACGCGAACCTTCCATTAACACCACACACACGAGGGTGACCAGGCCATGGCTCAGAGCAGGACCCTGGCTGGTCCTTGAGAAGCTTCAGTCACCCATGACAATAGTAGGCGATCCTAGCCAAGAGCTCAGCCACAGGCCTTGTCCTGAAGGTCTCTCAAAGGTCTGCTCCTGACCCATCAGGACGATGGCAGTGTCTCAGCTGTCTGCCCACTGCTACATCTTCAGCCCTAAAGCTGTGCCCAGAGGCCCTCCAAACATTTGTGACAGGGGAAAGGGGAAGGCTGCCTCTCTTTACAGAGGACGTGAAATCACAGAAGTCATAGGATCAGTCCACAGGCACATGGCTCCTAAGCACAGGGCCAGGGACGGTTTCTGGACTCCAGAGCTCAGCTCTGAGACACTGGCCACCTGCTCCCACCAGGACCCACAACAATCCCGGGGAGCAAGGATGGAGGCCTGAACTGGGCAGGAAGATGGGGAACGGTCGACGGCACACAAAAAGAGGCAGGACTCCGGAGAAAATAAAAGAGACACCATGTCCGCAGAAGCTTACGTTCTAGGGCAAACAGACGATAACCACATAGATCAGACGCACTGAGTGCGTCATGGAGAAGATTAAGGCAGAGAAGGGAACCCAAAAACTTCCAGAACCATACCAGGTAAGTCCTCCACAAAATGACTTCTGAGTAGTGTGCAGAGGGACAGCCAAGATGGGAGGGGCAGCTGTGCAAAGGCTGTGTGGTAGGACAGCCTTTGGGACTCTCCGTATCTGACCAGAGAGCCCATGAGGTACAAACCGGCAAAGGAAAACAAGAGAAATAGTTCTGCTTTGATGGTGCTGCGGCCTTGGGAGCACATCCAGGTGCAGATCTGGGGTAACAAAAGCAGTAGAAAGAACTGCTTTCTTTCAAGGAGAACAGGGGACAAATCGTGAAGGGGCAGGCTGGAAGGAGGCTCCCGCAGAGGCCCGTGGAAGGGAGCCAAAGGCAGGGAAGAGTGTGGGTCACAGCAGCCAGAGGGGACCCTGCGCCAACAGCTGCCAGCGTCTGTAGGAGTGACCTGTATGGCAGCAAAGAGATGTGTACTCTGACCTGGCAGGCGAGGGGCAGGGGCCTTCATTGTGACTGTCAACAGCTCAGGGTCCACACAAAGGACTGGGTGGGCTGTTTTTTTTTTTTTTCAACGTTTATTTATTTTTGGGACAGAGAGAGACAGAGCATGAACGGGCGAGGGGCAGAGAGAGAGGGAGACACAGAATCGGAAACAGGCTCCAGGCTCTGAGCCATCAGCCCGACGCGGGGCTCGAACTCACGGACCGTGAGATCGTGACCTGGTTGAAGTCGGACGCTTAACCGACTGCGCCACCCAGGCGCCCCTGGGTGGGCTGTTTTAAGGAAGAGCTCCACCATGAGAAAGGATATGCAGCTGCGTGGAACATCTGTGCAGGAAAACGCTCCCCACACACAACCCAGTGTAGGAGGTAGGTTCTGGAACAGCAGAGCAGGAGTGCTGGAAGGATGCCCAGAGACACCTAGAGGGTTGGCCACCAAAATGATAACCCAGTTGTTTCTGGGACTCTGGATTCCCAGTGATCTTTCATCCTTCACAGTGTTCTGCACTGTCTGGGCTTTTAAAAGTGTTCGTTTATATCTTTTACAAAATTCAAAGCTTTTTTTTTTCTCTTTTTAGCGTCGCAGGGATCATGTAAGACCAGGGCTGAACTGAGAGTGAATGGCTGCATTGGGTAAACGGGAAGCTGCAGGTAACGGGTGCGAGACGATGGAGGAGGCGAAAGGAAGCAGAGGCAGGGAGGAAAGGCGACCTAAAGCATCAGTCCATGTGGACAAAAGCTGGCGCAGCGATGATGGAGACCCTGTGCCTCTACGGTGACGGCGTCCGGAGGGCAGGCCCCAGGAGAAGGTGCAGAGACAGTCTGCTCAGGCCTGCTTTTCACCGTGAAGAAAGCTGGGGACGCAGCGGGCCGGGACCCGACCCCAAAACCGTCCCTCCGGTGCTCCTCCGAGCTTCTCCACACAGGGCCTGAGCCGGGAGCGGGAGCCGGCCCGAGGCCTCCGAGGACGACAGCTGTGGCCTCTGGGAACCTGGCCGGCCCTCTGCGCCCCCGCGGCTCGTCCCCACACCACCGCCCGGCCCCGCGACCGCGAGGCCGGCCGAGCGCGCCTCACTCACCCAAGGGAGTGACCCTGATCTCGGGCATGCTGTCGGGCGGGCTCCCAGGCCCCGTCGCCTCTGCGCTCACCGAGCCAGCGGGACCACTTCGACGACGAAATCCCGGACCCAGGACCTCCGCCGCGCGCCACAACCCACGACACCGCACCGCGCAGGCGCGATCCCAACGGCGCCAGCTTCCGGTGCGCCCGCCGG